CTAAAGATTCTAATTTCTAAACCGGTTCTGTAAATGATTTCTTTACAACTAAGTGCTCAAAATTGATACAAGCTAGATAAAAAAAACTGCCTAGTGAAATACGTTTTTCGTCGTCTGATTTACATATGGATAAGCAATCTATGTAATTATGTATATCATTGGGTGTGAGCCACTAATAATTCTGCTGTGGAAATTTATAACATTTCTTTACTATTGAATGAAATCCAGTTTCCAAAGTAATGTGTTCGTACATCCACGGATGCAACAAGTTTTTTCGATAATGATATTACGAAAATAATTCGACTTTATTTAATTAATAATTATTAAACAATAAATGCCATATAAAATATTAATAAATCTCCCCCAACAAGTGCACATTTTTGTCACCAGTTGGCGTTAAAGTCATGACGCACGGTCCCTATATTATTTTGTACTTACCAACACATCAAAAGATGTAATATAAAATTGTAAATAATACTAACGACAGTTTGTAAGCAACCTTGCGATTATCACAAAAATTGTACGTGCATTGAAAAAAATAAAAAAAATATATTAAAAAAAAATAAAAAAAATATATAAATATATAATAAAAACAAATAATTTAATATAAAAAAAAAATAAAAAAAAAATTTTATATAAGCACACAGACCCACATACTAACAATAGAGATACTAACAAATATTTGTTTATTTGTAGATTTGAAACAATATTGAGTATTCGTGGAACAGAACAAAAGTCTGGCTAATTGGTTCCTACCACAGCCATTCAACTAATTAAAAAAAAATCAAAAATTTCGAATTTATACATTAGTAGGATTAGCAGGATGAAATCAGGCGTCTAATATCAATTGTAGCAAAGTTCACTTTTCTAAATTTCCCACTACACAACAAAAACTATTTAAAAAATATTAGGTCGTTACATAAAATTACTGTTTTGGTTTTTAAGTGTATTAATAACCATTACATGAGAGTTGCATACGCTATTTTTTCTACACCCGATAAATAATCAAGAACTATAAATATTATATTTATATTGAACACAATAACAGTAATTACTCGGATTTCTATAAAAAAATTCACAAAATTGTAATTAATGGTATTACCTCGGGTATTAGTATTATGATAGATTTTTGGGGCAAAATATTTTGTACTGCATTTTCTGCTATCTCCGATGTGTGGAGGAGTCGATGATATCAGACAATTTGGTAATATAATTATCGAAGTTTAGCTATCTATGAAAATTTAATACATACTGATTTTGACAACTAAAACAATTATATAGGAACCATCAAATGCACAGCATGGTTGGTTGAAAAATTATCGGTTTCTATTAAGAGGAGTATTTACTTGGCTGTAGAGCGGAGCTTGCAAGGGTTTCGTAGTACCCCACTTTTAAAGTTTATTTTTGACTTATTTTGCAACAAAAAAATATGTACGTGTAGGTAAAGGATAAATCTATGCTCCTCTGGAAACACTTTTTTAAAATTTGAAACTGTTTTCTAAAAAAAAAAAAAAAAAAAAAAAATACAAAACTCCACTTCTTATGTCCTTTTTCTCATTTTTTTTTAGAAAAAACTAAATTGAATTTTAAAAAAGTGGTTCCAGAGGAGCATAGATTTAACCTTTACCTACACGTACATATTTTTTTATTTTAAAAATAGTCAAAAATAAACTTTAAAAGTGGGGTACTACGAAACCCTTACATTGCAAGATTTTTCGTCTGGAAAATGGCGCCTCTGTTAAATTTTTAGGAAATTAATATTTGTGAATGAAAACAATTTATAATATATTTTACTGATGGTTTACGAGGGATGAATACATTTTACGTATTTGTACACCTTATTTTTTACGTAATTTATTTCTGTAATACTAAGATTGGCATATATATTATATGCAAGGGTTTCATAGTACACCAATTTTACGGAATATTTTTTAATTTTACTAAAAGAAATTTTATGTAAGTACAGATAAAGGCTTAGCCAATACCTCTCTGAATTTACTTTAAAAATATGAATCAGTTTCTTTTGAAAAAATCTAAGAAGAGAAATGTTAAAAAATGCTAGAAGATAACAATATATTTCATTTTTGCCTACAGGAGCATTTATTTGTTTTTACAATAAAAACAAAAGCTTTTTCGTCTAGAGGGTGATACCAACAAAATATATAACATTTTCTACTATTTAGTGATAAACAGTACGTAAGTGATTTGAATTCATGTTGTTATTTTTTACATACAGTAATTTCGCTCAATTATATTAAATTAATCTTATCATTTATTTATTAAAAAAATATATATACGAAATTGGAAGGTATACACTGAGATGTGAATTATAAATATGTTTTTGTTTAATGAATACCTCTTCGAATCAACAATAATTATTAATTCCAGCATGTTAATATCTCTTCAATCCATTAAAGTAATGTAAATATTTTTTTTTGCTTTTTGCTTTGATCTGTCGCACCCTTTCAGATTCAGAGCAAAATAAGATTTAAAAATTTATTTGCAACTAAAAGTTTTTAAATGTGGACATTTTATTGAATTCGAATTTGATTATGTTGCTGCCAGTCTGGATGGAATTAAAAAAAAAAACAAAACTTTATGATGGAGTTAAAATGTCCATATATGGAGCTGAAGTGCTGACTGTGGAAGAAGAAATAAGCAGTAGAGAAATAACTTTTTGGAAAAAGGACAATACCATTAAGGTGAACCACTATTGGTATTTTCATATTCAGGGCTAGCTGCACATAACACAAATGGATTTTTGCATTTTGTGATTTTGGAGTTCTGGAGGAATAAAAGTGGAGAAAATATCTCATATTGACAGCTTTTGGGGAGAAAAGATACAAAATAAAATTAAAAATTACGGGACAAAATATTAAATAATTCGTGAGAAATTTTGTTTAATGTTTATTAACATAACGCAAGGAATCTTAAATTATTTGGAATATTTTTATTAATTTAAGAATTACATTTTATTTAGTTCTAAAACATGGTAGTAGGCTATCCATTTAAGATATGATTAATGTCTTAATATTTTAATACACTATTTTAAATTTAGGATATTACCAGTGGCAGTGGTAATTGATGATATATAATTATTATTATTATTATTATACCAAATGTTTTAAAGGGCTACACCAAAAAGTGGACCACGCTTTTAAGTCCCCAAATAATAGTTTCAAGATTTTGATTAGAAGTTTTACTATATAGAGTTTTGTGTCAAAGCCAAGTCATGTAGGTATTGTTATTGTAATACGTAGATGAGTAACTATCATCAATAGAAATTTAAAATTAACACATAAATCTTTGTAACGACGTTATTTATAACTTTATTAACTTCATAAGGGTCAAAAATGTTAGTTAACTTATTTAATTTTAAATATAAATTGATTTTCATTTTAACTTAGAAATTTTCGAAAAGTTCACTATATTGTTTAGTTGTTGCAACTTTACTGCGCTTAAGTAGCGTTCAGATTAAAATATGAATTTATGGAGCTTAACTAAAAAACAGGAACTAATGCTATCATTCCAAAAAAAGTATTATGGCCAATAAAAAGAATTTCGAACTGTGATATCTGCAAGTCCTTATTTAAAACCTTTAAATTTAATATTATCATTATATAAGAGTTATCTTTACAAATTGATAGAAATATCGAACATAAGTTTGTTGACATAAACATTATTTCTATAATACAAATAAATATATCTTTGTTAAAGAATACTCATGTTTTTGTTTTTTGTCTGGATGATATTGAATACTAACTTTTTCTATATAACTTCTTATCGAGACATTGTGAGATGAAAAAACAGACAATTAATTAAAAGCGTACTCACAATTTTTCAGGTATAGAAGTTTCAATGCTAATACTGTTTCTCAAATTATGAAAATACTAAATATTTAAAAAATAAATAAAAAGCCAATTAAAGAATGTGTTAATATCTACAGAAGAACATCGTATTTCTTTTTTGGAAACAAAGAGTAGTCGAAAATTGTGAAATGAACAACATATTTTTATTTCACAAAAATAAGTCAGTTTTTGTTTTTTATGTAAATCATATCATTTTCAAGGCAATAAAACAGAAGAAAAGTCACCAAATACCGATTTCTAAAAGGTTTATTAGTTTTTATAGGAAATGGAAAGAGAAAGAACGCTTTACTAATTTCGATAACTATAAACGGATTAAGGTATTTTGTACCATGTTAAAAAATTTAAGAAAAATAATTCTTTTATTAAAAAAATTAGTAAACTTTGACAAATATATACAATTTTCTAAAAGGTAAATCACATTTATGTGTTTATACAAAAATTTTATTTATTTTTCTAAAATAATATGGATTGTCCTCTAAAATATATATAGTGGCTCGCAAAAAGTCTGCTTTTTATGTTACTTTTTTCAGAAAATGTTATTACTGATAAAATTTGGTGTTTAATTAAACCTAAAACTTTATTTATTCAAAAAATTCTGTACCATAAATATAAATTTGGCTGCATAGTGAACTAGGTACTCTTCTAGGAACCCAACCCACATTTTTACATATAAGATTAATTTAAGAAGATGTATATAACTCCACATAGTAGTTTTTTAGTTAATACAATTAATATAGATTATTATATCCTTTTTAACCTACTTCAAAAAGGAGGAGGTTCTCAATTCGTCTGTATATATTTTTTATGTATGTTCAGCGATAATTCTTTAACACAATGTCCGATTTAAATGATTCTTTTTTGCTGGAAAGGGGGTACCTCAGGGGTGGTCCCATATAAATTTGGTTAAGATGTGGTAATGGAATCTGCACGATTTTAAAGTCGGTTTTTTAAAATTACTTTTAATACTTGTTACGTAAATTAAAAGTTAATAATTTGGTGCTTTCTTGATGCGTCGTTTTATGATTTCACTTTGTATATGTTTAAGTACAGATAATTTTCTAGCAAATTTTAGAAATATTTTCCAGAATTTTTCAAGGAATGCTATCAATAATTACAATTTTTATTTTTCCAGATGACTCAAAGGTTGGAATTGTACGCAAACCTTCTTGACGAAGCTACAAAACTCGATTTCAAGCCCCAAATTATTACAAAATCTACATAATTAAGACCAACAGGTTCTAAATGTATTTTTTTATCACAAAAATTGTTATTATTGTTTATGGAATATGGAATAGGTTTTAAAAAAATAAAAATGCTTTATAACTTTTTTTTTATATATATACGAACATAATAATATATTCCTAACATGCATATCATCCTGTAAATAGATATTTTTGTGACATCAGGACAGGAGAATATTCCTATGGCAGTTTATTTTGTTCAAGTATTATTCATACTAATATATTATTTTGTAAAGTAAATTTTAAAGCAAAAATATAACAATCAATAATAACAGATTTATAAATATTATAAAGTCATAGGTCCAACAATACACAATTAAATAAAACTCATATTCAAAAAAAGTACGAATAATACTCAATTGTACAAAAGTTCTGTAACTCAAGGTCATTTTAAATTTAAGATTCTTTTTTAGTTTTGTCTAATGGTTCATTCTTCTCAACTCTTCCAACTGAAAGAAAAAACGGATGATTAACACATTCTTCATAATAAAAAAAAAATTAAGTAAGAGCAACAATACGTTGTTCAAATATTACCTCTCCCTCGGAATCTATAGAGTCTCCTTCATCATCAGAACCATGAACTGAAGCCGCAGGCGTAGTAACTTTGCTCGAAGTGGGAGACGGTGGTTCCGATATAGGTCTTGGGTATCTAAACGCCATGCCTAATTCCATTTCTTCCTTATAGTCAGGGAATACTTTGTGCAGCGCCTTCATTCTTGCTTGGCGATAATACTAAAAAAACATCGCGTCAACGTTATTGAAAAATTTAGAAGCAAGCTTTTTTGTATAAAACCCCATAAAAAATGTTACATTTCAACAAAACTGATTTGGAACGTACATTTTCTTTCAATACCCCAACCGTATTGGCGTAAAGTTTTTGAAATACAAATGACAAACATTTGGTCCTTCGAGCTACAAAAGTTTGAGGAACGAAGCTAAAATAAAAATATATGTAACCTGCCCGTGGAAATGTAGCTACTTTCATAAGTAGTGGTGGTAACACTGTATCAAAAATGTCATGTCATACTTTATTTGTCAAAGTAAAATGGGTTAAATTAGTCTCTTTGAGTTGGGGGTTATTTTAAATCAAGACGTTAGTAAAAACAAAAAATAAAAAAATCTGACTTACTACTCCTAGATTTCTCCAGTCCAACAAATCGCTCAGCCTCTCAGTTCTGTTCCTTTGAATTATCCTCTGTCTTCGGCTTAATCGCGCAAAGTCATACATATACTGAGCTAATTGATTAACGGAATCGTCTAATCCTATGAAACGACGATCAACTATGTATATACCGTAGGACATGGGGTCTGTGATGTGTTCTTGCATGAAGCAACCGAAACCTGAGAGAGAAAAAAACAATTCGAAGCAATTCTGAATGATTTTGAGTGTAATCAACATAAATTATTATATAAACATTAATAGTCTTAATACACAAAACATCATTAAATTTATCTGCATGCAAAACCCTAAATATAGAAACGTCACTATAATGAATGTCCAATTGAGTAGGGCGATATTTCAGGAACTGTTATTAAATTATTTTAATCTTGGTAAACTGACATTCTTTACAAGTTTTCCAAAAAAATACTAACGACTTGAGGAAACAACATCTTTATATTTGAATGTTAGACAATAAGGAAAACCATCTTTCATTAAAAATAAACGTGGCTAAAATTGACCAGGATTAGGAATAAAAATTCTCTGTGTTCGCTAGTATTGAGGGTAAACCACTCTCGAAATACTGGAACGTTTTCACTCAAAATTACTGTAAATTTTCTCGAAAATTCCGAAATTATCATCGAAAATCATGGTCAAAACTATTGCCAAAATAGCTTCGAAATAATTCGACGCACAAAACGTAAACCGAGACTAAGAGAGAAAGCCCACTAGCGCGACAATACTTCGCTAGTGCCTACAGTTATGGAGTCCTTGATGTGGACGTCTTACAAAAAGATAGCATCAAGCTTCTGCTGTCAACACACTTTCCTGGCTCGGTCATCACAGATGTGAGGAAGAATACAACCCATCTGTCTATGATTGGCAAACTGCCACACACATTAGGCATTTTCGGAAACCTACTATAGATAATAAATCCACATTACTGGGTTTACCGAATGGATCACGAGGATCACTGAACTTAGTGCCGACAGTTTACGAACTAGTTGCATTATTGTTCTCGTTCATCTACGTCTGTCAATCTTTGACTTTCCCACCTTATTTGTTAAAGAACCATTTTAATTAAATCTATTTGTAGTCTGACTAATAAAGTCGCGATATGGGCACAAAGATTACAAGTTACAACTAATTGAATGTAAAAAAAAAAAAAACTTCAAAACTACTACTGGCAGACACCAAGCACAAAAAAATTGCTTTATCCCTTTATAAAATCCTGAGTTGCGCAAGTGGATCTATCACTAATCTACTCGTAGAATGGTTTACAAAATACTAATCTCGATCACAAAGCTGGATCAGTAATCTATTAGTTTCCGAACACAGATTAGGTTGGTAACCATAGGTAAACGAACAATAGGATCCATAATCTTTCTGATCCGAGTAAGTGTCCGAAAACGCCAAACACATTGTAGACGATGAAAAAATTAGATGGGCAATCCAGCTTCTCTCCATTTAAATCGCAAGGACCTGGCGGTATCTATCCAGCCCTACTTCAGTGGGGTCTGGAAGAACTCACACCGCACCTGGTGGGTATATTCAGATCCTCGTTAGCTCTGAGGTAAATATCCAAAAAATGGAGAGAGGTTAAAGTGGTATTCATACCCAAACCTGGAAGGATGGATTACACTGTCCCAAAAACATACCGACCAATTAGTCTGACATCGTTTTCCATGAAGATATTGGAAAAGCTATGCAAAAGGTACATAAAGGATGCGGTGATTACAACACCACTACACCCAAACCAATATGCATACATCCCAAGCAGATCCACTGATTCAACCCTTCATCTAGTTGCTGGCCGGACAATAAGGAGTCTGCCTTGGGTGTTTTCATAGACTTAGAAGGTGCTTTTGACAAAACCACCTTCCCCAAGATAATACTCACTAATCAACAGGAATGTTCCACAGTAAATAGCAGTAAACCTAAGTATAGAAGATATGAATATAAGAGGCTTAGTTATGAGGGGATGTCCACAAGAAGGGGTGCTATCACCTCTACTGTGGAATATGGTCCTAGACATCCTCATCAGCCGCCTTAACAATGACAGTCACTACACAATAGCATATGCAGATGACTTGGTCATTCTGCAAACCGGGAATTTGGAGAACATACTCTGCGAAAGAATGCAAGTAGCTCTAAAAATTATAGAACAGTGGTGCAAGGACCATTCACTGTCAATCAATCCTAAGAAGACAGAAATGGTCCTTTTCACAAACAAAAGGATGAAAATGGAATTAAAACCTTCAGAACTCCTAAACACAAAACTAAAATTTGTAAAAGAGGTGAAGAACCTTTATCTTACCTTTGATAGCAAGTTAACATGGAACTCACATTTAGAAAAAGTCATACATTGCTTATGAACAATGCCGCCGAACCGTGGGGCGCGCCTGAGGTTTCTCCCCCAGAATCGTCGCATGGACTTACACTGCTATCATTAGACTTATGCTAACATACGGTGCAGTTGTCTAGGTACCAAAAACCTAAAAATTGACAGCTATCCGTAAACTAGAACAAATTCAAAGAACAGCATGTCTCAAAACAACAGGAGACATGAAAACAACACCGTCCAGAGCCATGGAAGACATTCTTAGTCTCACTTCCCTTGATATCTACATTAAGAAGGTTGCTCTAACGACAATGACACGCCTCTGCACGGTTGGAATAGAACCTGATATAGGATCTGGTGAGACGAGACGTGGCTTTTGGCAGAAGGCGCTTGATACGCTCCCACTGCTTCAAGCGAACATTGACTCCATCTCACGGAGATGTATCTTCCATATGCCATATAAACTTGTAACAGAACAAACACACAAACACCGACGGTTCTAAAATAAAACAAGGCTTAGGATGTGGAATATACTCCAGATCCTTAAACCTTAACACAAAATGGGCTGCAAGCAATAGTGCCAGTGTAGTTCAAACAGATTTCACGGGAATTCTCATAGCAGCAAAAACAATCACCAGAAACAATATCACTGGAAGGATATGCTCATATATACAGATAGCAGACAAATACTACTCACCCTGAACAGACCACGAATTTATTCAGGGTTAGTACTAGAATGTCACGAAATTTTGGCCGAAGTATCCATTAACAACGTGGTCACCTTAAGATGGATTAAAGGTCACGCCACATCGAAAGGCAACCGTCTTGCTGATTAACTGGCCAAGAAAGCAGCCAATCAAATACTTTTTGGATCTGGCCCTTCTATTGGCCTGACAAAATCGGTAGTGACAGACCCAATTAAAGAACATTTCCTTGTGAAATTCAAGGAAAGATGGGATGAAACAAGAAACTGCAGAGTTGCCAGGAAACTTTTAAGTTTTCCTGACAACAATGCAGCAAACAAATACTTGACTATGACTAGACAGAATCTGCGCCTAGTCACAGGCATTATGACTGGTCATTGCCAAGTACGGAAGCATCTCCATATCATAAGGCTGTCAGAATCCGCACTCTGTAGAGGGTGCGAACAAGAAGATGAGACTATCGAGCATATCCTCTACGATTGCTCGACGCTCTTATTTATTAGGAGATTTGTGTTCGGCGAGTATCGGCTAACACCGGCCGAAATAAGAGAAGTATCTTTTGGCGACGTTGTCAAGTACATTAAATCTATAGGCTGACTCACGAGCTAGGAGGTGCCTATCATCTTAGGAGGTCTAGTGAGGCCTAAACGCGGGGGTAACCCATCCTCCACACGTTATAGATACATATAGTCCAAGACTTTATGTTGATTTAATTATTTATTTTATTTATAATGTTAAGTATTTTTGTCTATACCCTGTATTATGCGTTTAGTTGGATTTTGACAATTGTACTTCGCCACGTAACACGTGTTATCTCCAGTATTGAACTTAGAAATGCCTCTAATTCTCCCAACAAGTCTTTTATGTTTGATTTCTTCTTTTCTCTGGTTCGAACGAACTTGTCGAAACCGAAGTAAATCTATTCGGCCAGTTTGATCGCAGCATAGTTCCGCACTTTGACATCTTAACTGAATCGGACAAAATTATTCTGGAGCCAAACGCATTTGCAACAGTCGTTATTGGATTCGGTTTGGAAAGCGGTCTGAACCAGAGAAAAGAAGAAATCAAACATAAAAGACTGGTTGGGAGAATTAGAGGCATTTCTAAGTTCAATACTGGAGATAACACGTATTACGTGGCGAAGTACAATTGTCAAAATCCAACTAAACGCATAATACAGGGTATAGACAAAAATACTTAACATTATAAATAAAATAAATAATTAAATCAACACTTTATTCCTAGTAATGATGAATGAGGGCCAAGATAATAGAGCAAACTGTGATTGCAATAAATGTGAAAAGGGTTTTTATTTTTAGTAAATTAAAGTAAACCTGAAAATTAAGATGTTTTGTTAGTAATTTCAAATGTTAAAATGATAATAAATATATGCCAATTGTATTTTTCACTTAATAAAGTTAAAATAAACCGTCATTTACACTATTGAATTTCTGACAGGTTAAAAATGAACCGGCAATTTGGTCGTAAATTCACTAGCATCTTTTTCGACCTGTAAATTGTTATGATTTGTAGTTAATTGTATTTGTAATTTATTAATAAATATTGAGACTTGTAGCAGATTTATTCACATTCATTACATAACCAAGACTGACGGCTTGGACCATAGATTACTTGAATAGATGGGAAACTCAATGGTAAAATTCTGAGTCGATGTGCTGCCATCTATCAAATTGGAGTGGTACTAAAATTCAATATGGCCGCCACGAGCGGGCTTTTTGAAATTTAACTTTGTAGTAGCGCAAAAATGTAATGAAGAAAATCAAATAAAGCAAAAAAATTGGAAAAATATTTGACTAGTTTTAAATCATAAAACAACCATATTGACTGTTTTGTGATTTGAAACTAGTCAAATATTCTGCCAATTTTTATCTTTATTTGATTTTACTTCATTATATTTTTGCATTAATTTCAAACTTGAAATAAAATGCAATTTATTTTATTTTATTTATTACAGTAAATTAACGCCGCATCATATAATTTGTATAAATAAATATGTATAAATAAATAAATAAATAAATAAATAAATTTTTAAATTAGTACTTAATTTTTTAATAGTTTTTGGCCAGCTTTGCAAAATTGTTTTTTTTTAATTCCATTAATTCAGGATCTTTTTCAGTTTCAGTTGTTAATAAATTAATTATTTGACATTTAATTTGACAAACTTGAGCTTCAGTTTCTTTATCTAACTCACTAAAGGTGTCTAATATGTAAGCCTTGATAAAGCATCTGCTAGAATCAAATCTTTACCTCTTTTAAATTTTACTTCAAAATCTTTTTGTAACTGTAGTAACATTCGTTGTAGTCTCGCTGAACATTAATTGTTTTTTTGAAAATAGCAATTAGTGGTTGATGATCTGTTTCTACTATAATTTTTTTTCCATAAATAAATTCATAAAATTTACTTAAACCAAACAAATAGCAAGTAGTTCTTTCTCTATCTGAGCATAATGCTTCTGTATATCTGTTAACGCTTTGGAGGCATATGCACAGGGTAAATTATTTTGTAACTTCTAATCCAGACTGTGAATTATATCTAGAGATTATACTTTATTTATGTCAAAAAATTGCAGTACTGGACTAGAAGTTAATAATTTTATCAAAAGCCTTTTTTTTTGTTCATCTAGCCAAAAACATTCAATATCTTTTTTTTTAAGTTGTCTTAAAGGTGCAGTGTTATGTGAAAAACCTTTGATGTATTTGCTGATATATGTTAAAATATCAAGTAACCTTTGTACCTTTTGTTTATCTTTAGGAACTGGCATTTATAATATAGCTTTAATTCTATCACCATGCCCGAAGTTTGATTTCGCGTGTCTTCACTTCTTATTTTTGACGATTCTATTACCAAACACAGCTGAATAACTTCTTGCAGACTTAATTTGTCATCCTTGTCTTCCTGTAGTAGCCTTTCTCTTATGAAGTTAATTGTTACTCCACATGTTAACACAGAATTTGCGACTCTCTTGTAAACCACCTAGTTTACACTTCATTGCTTTATGTTTTAACTCCGAGAAGAAAAAAATATATACCTTTCATAAGTTATGTTTTCTCTGGGAAGAAAATGTGCTTCATATTTTTCAATTAAATTAGCCAATTTATGTTTTTCGTCTTCTGCAAACTGAAATGTAGTGTAAATTCTGAATCCATTCTCGCCTATATCGTGAAGCAGCTGAACACACTGTCTCTTCACTTGTTTTGTTTAATTCTGATGCTATTAAATAATTTTGGAAGGCTGACTTCCGTATTTTCCAATTCTTTGCTAGATTGCCAACCACGCACATAGGACCAATCCCTTTACTTTGCGCCATTCTTTATATATTTTGTACAAGAAATTCTAATTAAAATGTCAAATCTGAAACATAACCTCAACATTGAATAGCACATGATAAAATATTTTATATAATTTTATCTATTATTTTGTTAGGAAAGAGATACTATGCTTTACTATTTTTAAATGTGTTAAATAAGACTTTTTCTTTTCCTATTAAATTTGGTCTCTGTGAAGCTATTCAAATAATAGTATTAAATTTTGCATTTGATAGTAAGAAGCATTATCTGTTCCCTATATACTTCCTGACTCTTTATATTTTTACCTTTTTCCTTGTAGCCTGGCTGTATATAGATGGTTTCAGTAGAAGTTATATCGATGGTTTTATAGAAGTTTATCGAAAAAGATTGTTAGGAAGAACGTTCCAGCTGCATGTGTAGAAATATTGAAACTTAAAAGTTTGGTTCCAGCTACATAGGTTGTTTCAAGTATTTCAAGAGGTTTAGTTCGAGCCATCCAAAGAAGTGTACGAGATTTAACTTTACCTAAGAAGAATTATCAGTTGGTGATATCCAAGCCAAACCCCTGTACCTGCTACCTGTTATACCACAGATAAGTTTTCAATAAATCATTTAAATTTGAATAATTAAGTCTCTGTGAATTAGAATTTGTCGCTACCTTATTTAATTATAATATCACTATGGTTAGTGATTTTCTATATTTTCATCACTGATCGCTTGTCAAGTTTAGAAAGTTTAAATATAGTGGCGTCCAACATTCTTTTTCAAAGTTATACGAGTTGTTTAATAACCTGGCCCACTCCCCAAAATCATAGAGCTTAAAACACTATAAAAATAGATAAAATAACAAGATCATATTACATCTTTTATTTTTTACTTTAATTCTTTGTTCGCAGCGCCATGTTATTTAAAGATAAAGATAGAAACGTCAATTAAGATAAAAAGTTGAAATAAAAGAGGTTGTTTCCTCAAATCATTAAAAAAGTTAATATTTTTCTGCACAAAGTGCGAAAGTGACATCAAAAACCAATAGTTAATTCAAATTAAACATATTGTAACATAAATAACAATATTTGGTACCTGATAGATTGGTTGTAATACTTGGAATACCCATTACAGTACACTCAGCGGGTGTGTAACCCCAAGGTTCGTAATAACTTGGAAACACTCCTAAATGGCATCCTCGAACAAATTCTTCATAATCTAATCCAAATAGGGGGTTAGTTGAGCTAAGGAATTCAGGGTGAAAAACAATCTAAAAAAAAAACAGTAAACAAAGTATCATATTGTACTAATAATAAATTAAATCTTTGGTGTAATAGGTTTGGTTTTTACTTACTTTTACTCTATCGTGTGTAGTATTAAACAAGTTACACCTTCTAACCGAGTTCAACACGGGATCGTTCCAGTCATCGCAAATATTGTGGGTGGTTACCGGAGGTAGACCATCTCGTTGTAAAGAATAGATACACCTTTTAAGTCTCACCATTTCTTCTTTTTGTAGTAATTCGCTACTGTCTGGTAGTCTTCCACTAAAAACGAACAAATGCATTTTTTTAGAGCCCATTTAAACATAATACAATAATATAGAATACATATCACAAGTCAGTAAATAATAATAAATTAATTTAAAATATCTATAAATATTAATAAACAACAAATGAAAAATCTAAACCTCACATATATGTAACTCCTTACTAAATTCTGTTAGAGAGATAATCAATTCTATGTTTAGTCTATTAGGAGATATTATCACTTTAGGAATAAAATAGTGAGAACCATAATTTGTTCAATAGAAAGGTTGGGAGAATGTATTAGCATTCCTAGTTGTTCTAGACTCTAGAGGGTAAAGAAAATCCAATTTGGGATAACAAGTAGGGGCAATCAGCAATTAATTAATTATGTTTAAAAAACTTTAAGATCCCTTTGGTTTCTTCTATTCAGGAGGGTCTTGAGATGAACAAAAGTGTGTAATTCGTTATAATTGTGACCGAAATTGACAAGGGCGATACCAGATTTGAATGCAACAATACATAAAAGGGATTCCATACAGAGGAAGCATAATCAATATAAGGTCTAACTAAGGAACACACCTCATTCTGAAAATTAGAAGTGGTTCTTCTAAGGAAACCCAACATTTTTAATGCTTTATTAACTGAAGCAAATATATAAGGTTGAAAAGAAACGGTGGAATCTATTTATCACACCCAAATCCTTTATATCTCTAAAATTGATTGTGTGGATCATTGGACCAAGTTATCCAAGTATTTTTGAAGGCAAATACAATCGTGTAGGGAATTAAAACTCATGAATAATTTTAAATTAACAGGAAAACAAAGGAACTGAGAATTTTCAGTACAATTTCGAATGCTATTGTTATTATAAGTTGATACTTTTAACTGTGTATATATAGAAGTCATTAAAATACAAAAATAATGTGTTCAAGGTTGTCAGCATTTACCTTACCAACGCACTTAATGTCTTATTAGGGTTTTCCTACATGTTCTCCACAATGTTCCTGCAAATCACCTGTATCCCTAGCCCGTTGAGCCAAATTAATACAAGTTCTGGGACTAGGATGGGACAAGTGTTTTCACTGTACACACTCAACAAAAAGAAGTAACATATCCACAAGTTCACTGTTGTCATAATTTGCCATACTGGACAATTTAAATTCACACATCAGATAAACACTACTGAAATCACACGAGACTGAATTACAATTACCGGTATACAAAGAAACGTGATTCATAAGAAAAACCGAAAAAAAGTAGCTTTAGCTTACTTTTCATACACCAGTTTGGAACCGGATTTAGACTTTTTAATTCCGTATCTTCTATTTTTTAAGTTATTTGAAAAAGATGTTTATTTTAACGACTTCAATACACAGTTGAAAAAAATATCAAGTTAAAATTCCCCCTGAATATTGTCAAGCTAAAGAAATAACACCCTATACATAAAATTGACATTTTCTACTTCAGTGAACATTCATTAAATTAAATAATTCAACATAAAATTTTACAGAATATTTTGATAAACTTTAGATTCAATTTATAAGTACATTCTTAAAATAACATTAATGGGGATACGTACTGACCTAAGTCAATAAATATAAAAATCGGCTGGGTCAACAATAAAGGCACTCTGACTCTGTCTCAGAGTCTCATCATAGTCTCTCATACAGAGACCATATAAGTACTAAGTAGCAGCACCGACGTGCCCTCCTTGCCTATATGCAGGGTGTTTAAGAATAAAGTACCGTAAACAGGAGAGGCAGACTTGTAGATCTTAACTAATTGATAAGAAAAGCTAAATATAATTTTCTTGTAAATGTCCTAGTTTTCATTCTACAGAGTGATAAGTTAATTTTCTAAATACATAATTTTCTAAATATCTTCCCTTACTGCAAAATTTTTAACTTAAAAATATGTACATGTTAGTTAATCGCCATTACTAGTTCGATAAATTACGATACTCCATTGGCGTATAATTAAGGGTTAAGAAAACAATTGTAATCCAAACTTTTTGAATACCTTATATTTCATGAAAGTTAAGATTAATAATTATTACTCACGCAATTTGTAACAAAAAAAGGACTCTTGGTTGATCTCTGCAGAACATTTCATTTCCCAGATTTTTTAGTTTTAGTCCTACTCAAACATGAAATCTATGTACAATTTTATCAAGGGCCGATTTTATAATGAATATTAGAAGGTCCATTATCTATTGGGACCAATATTTTATGGATTTAATGGTCCCATTAGTTAATGGACCTTTTAATATTGATTATGAAATCGGCCCTTAATAAAAATTTGCATTTTTTAAATTTCATAATGTATTGGGTGAATCTTATAGTAGTACCCGATGTTTTTTTTTAAATAACTTGACAGATCGCCATGTTTGTTAATGTTTTAGAAACGTCAGTCCAGTACAATTTTAACAACGTTCTGAAATTGTAAAAATTTATTTTCAAAAAAACTCTCTTACGCTGACTAAACGCGCGTTCAGAGCGAGGTATCATGGCCAGAATGCGCCTACCCCGAAGACTATTCCTGCTTTGGTTGCAAAATTTAATGCCATAGGATCTTTGGCAACCTCTGTCCGTCGGAATAAGATGCGTACCAGACGGAGTATGGAAGCAATAGCAACCGTAAGTGCCGACATCGCGGAGCGTCAACAAGTTTCGGTCCGACACCGTGCTCAACAGTTTGGCATGTCCCCCATGTCCATGTGGCGGTTGTTAAGGAGGTCCTTTCGCCACCAATGTTAAATAAAAAATATTAGATTATGACTAAATAATTAAATTTACACTATTCATAAAAAAATTGTTTTCAATTTAATCATTTGTGTCGTAATTTTATTTAAATAATAAAAATATAATAAATAATGTGTAAGTATATCTCATTCTGATAAATAAATAAATAAATAATTAGATAGTACTCTAATAAGCTGATATTTTTCATTTATTGTGATATTTTCAATTATAAAATAAAAAAATTTGGTAAAAATAAATAAATTAATAAATATAAATGAAAAACATAATTGCGTTAAAGTTCACATTGAATGTATTCAATGGTCTGAAGTTCGCGCGCTACGCAACGTTGCCAAATGTTTTGACTCCATTTTAAGCTAGTTACTTGAAATTTTTTTGTCATTTTTACTTTCCTATCTGTATACAGATATAAGGAAAGTATAGGAATCATGATTTTTTTCGACCTCGAGTGTTTTCGACGGATTTTTACGTTTTGAGGTCCTCTGAACCCGTTTTGACTATTTTTCCGATGATGTCTGTGTGTGTGTCTGTCTGTGTGTCGCATAACTCATGAACCGATACACAGAAAAACACCAAATTTCAAACTTAAGCTTTGTTCCAGCGTCCAATGTGCTGATTAGATTTTGGGCAGTGTCAGAACATCTGGGGGGGTACTTTATAGGTGGTCATTTTTATATTTTATGGAATATATCTGTTATTTAAGTTTGGGGAAGAAAATTCTTCAAATAAAAGTTACTTCTTATATTATTATCTAAAATTTTTGTTCTATACAAAATTTTCCTAAAATGGTCCGTATTCGAGAAATTTGACAAAATGTAAAAAAATATTTTTTTTATAAAAATTGTTCAAACAAAAGTTTTTTGTAATATAATTCTCTATAATTTTTATCCCACACATAATTTCTCTAAAATGGACCGTATTCGAGATATTTGAGAAAATGTGTATATTTCGAAATTTGAAGAAAACTCAAAAACGGATAAAGAAAAAACATTAAATTTTAAACTTAAGTTTCATTTCGGCCTGACGTGAAATGATTAGATTTTGGACAAAGTTGGAACATCTGGGGGGGGGGGTACTTTATGGGGGGCCGTTTTTATATTTTATGGAATATATCTGTTATTTATGTTTGGAGAAAAAAATTGTTCAAATAAAAGTTATTTCTAATATTACTATCTATAATTTTTGTTTTATGTCAAAATTTCCTGAAATGGTCCGTATTCGAGAAATTTGACAAAATGTGCAAAATTCTGATTTTTATGAAAACTGTTGAACTAAAAGTTGTTTGCGATATCGATCTCTATAAGTTTTGTTTTTACATGATTTTTCTAAAATGGACCGTAATGGAAAAATTGTAGGAAAAGTGCTAAATTTAAAATTTTTAGTATTTTCATTTTCAATGAACATCTATAGAAAAATGTTTCGAGGTAGATGTATGTGGAAAATGTATTTATTTATTTTATCCTCTAAACATTTATGGAGGTGCTGCAATAGGTTGTACAAAATAACCGGTAAAAGCCTGTAATAATTAGATAGGAAAGTCATGTGTTGGACAAAAATTTGCACGGTAAGGTATAGTTAAAAGTTCACTATTAGATAAATAAGGACTTCAACTATTTGAAAAAAAAAAAATAATATTAGTCATCATCTAATATTTTTTATTTAACATTGGTGCCGAAAGTACCTCCTTAAGGATGGATTTGCACACGCCTTTCCTTACAAAATGCAGACCGCTCAACAATTATTGCCAATTGATAGGCTGTATCGCATCCAATACGGTCGCAATATGCAGGACATCCTCGCCAGTCAACCTGATTGTTGGAGCTGTTTGATCATGACCGATGAAGCACATTTCAGGCTTGTGGCGCTGTTAATACGTAAAATACCCGCTTTTGGGGCATTGAAAATCCTCAAATGATCTTCGAAGAGCCGTTGCATTCTCCCCCAAAGTCACCGTTTGATGCGGTGTTCGTGCTGAAAGGGTCATCGGCCCGTACTTTTTCGAAGACGATAAGGGCGCCACGGTAACAGTAAATGACGAGCGATATCGGGCCATGTTACGTGATTTTGTGGCAAATGAGGTGGACGAACATGACATGGGCGACTATTGGTTCCAGCAAGACGGCGCAACGGATTTATTGCGTGCCATGTTCCCGAATCGATTGATATCGAAATACGGTGATTTCGACTGGCCAGCTTGTTCACCAGATTGACCGCACCTGACTTTTTCCTGTGAGGAGGATACCTGAAGGGAAAGGTTTATGCCAATAAACCAGCCACTCTACAACAACTTAAGACCAACATACACCGAAAAATCGCTGCCATTCAACCGGAAACACTCCAAAAAGTGATGGAAAATGCCGAAAAACGGGCCGATTTGTGCGTGGCGTCCGGAGATGGCCACTTGGCCGATGTCATCTTCAAAAAGTGACCAAATAAATTGTAATGGATCCAATTTCAATAAAAAAAAACATAGATAGATTTCATGTTTGAGTAGGGCTAAAACTGAAAAATCTCGAAAATGGAATGTTCTACAGAAATCAACCAAAAGTCCCTTTTTTGTAACAAATTGTGTGAGGAATAATTATTAATCTCAACTTTTAGATTAAAATTGTTTTCTTAGCTCTTGATTCTACGCCAATGGATTATCGTAATTTATCGAAATAGTGTGTTAACTAATAATGATAATTAACTAAAATATACATATGTTTAAGTTAAAGTCTTTACCGTAAAGGAAGATATTTAGAAAATTATGTATTTATTAAATTCACTTTATCACCCTGTGGAATGAAAACTGGGCTGTTTACAGAGAAATTATATTTAGTTTTTCTTAACAATTACTTAAGATCTACAAATCCCGATATTTACGGTACTTTATTCTGAAACACCCTGTATAAATATTTAGCCCATGGTAAGGTCCGTTTATTTAATATTGTAAATTTGTGAATAATTTATTTATCGTCAATAAATTCCTAATTGTGTTCCGCTCTTTTATTTCCCCAAGTAAGGTAGCACATAGAGTCACTAACTGAATTTTGGTTCCATCACGATCGAAAGGCCCGTAAAAATATTAAAAAGAAGAAGTCCCACCAGAAGTAGCGATAAAGCCAGAGGAGGAGAAACCAGAAACAAGCAATTTGAAAGCGGTTCATAATAAATAGCCCAGACATAAAGTAAATTATACTTAAAACGAAAGAAATAAATACAAGATTTAATTTTGTTTTAGGTTCCGGCTCTACTTATTTTGTTTTCGTGTTTTATTCTAAAATAAAAATATATTGCATGTAACATTTTTTAATTTTACTTTTACTCTTTTGAACTATTTTCAAATACTAAGTAAACTTTTGTTGGAACAAATTCTGTTATTATTAAGATAAAATATATGAATGGTACGAAATAAAAACCTATTGACGGCAAAACACGATATGTATAATACTATCCTGTATAAAACCTGAAATACCCGCCTATGCCATTTTTTATCAAGAAGCCGCCATAGGATAGCTTAGGACTTTTGGTATGCTGTTCAGTACACTTAATACAATATTTCTAGAAAATTTCAGATTTACATTATTTTTTCAGGATTAAACCCTAAAATATTTGTGCTAAAAGCATTCGATGCATTTCAGAAGATTATCGCCAATGTTATTAAGCTTTCGAATCAAGCAACTGTCGTTAATTAACCCTGTCAAATAAATAAAACATTTTTTCTTTAAATTTGTAAATACTGACCTTAAGCAAACTTCGTACATGCGCTTTCCAATTTTATTTTGAATTTCATTTATGGTATCCCTCAAAGATTTAGTTACGGCATGTCCTCTCAGAGATTCTACATTAAAATTATTTGTTTTTGCAGGGAATATCATAAAGGCTACTACAGTGATGTCGGGGTGTGTAGACTACAAGAAAATCAAATAATCATTTTCGTAAATTAAAGCATATTTAGACAAAATTTCGAAGATAAATTTTGGCAAAAAAGTTAACAACTCACCTTCAAATAGTGATTAAGCCTAGCCAATGCCTCAATGAAAATATCCGCTCCTTTATTACCGAATTCGTACCGTCCAGCAATAAAAAAGTACAATGTTTTGTCTAAATCGAAATCGTAATGACCGTAAAAGTGTCCTCTAACGAATTCGTGGATTTTGTCCTTGGAAAGTGCGTGAAGATTTTGGAATTCATGGAGAGCAGAGAATTTTTTGACATTCAGACCGTTCGGCGTGATGACGTCCGGTTTTTTCTTTAGTAAATGTTCAGCCTCGTAACCTGGAAGTATTTTGTAATTTTAAATGTTTATTTTAGCAGAAAAATAAAACTAATACCCAATATTGGTCCAACGATTTTTAATATGCATATGAAATTTTAATCAAAACAGTGTATAGTGATCTACATCACCCAGGTAGCTTCACAATTTATTAATCCATTTTATTAAAGAAATGTTACAATTATACTATTGTTGTTGTTATATTGTAATTATTTGTTTATATTTTTTGATCCTACTGTATATAGGAAAAAATGTCAATGTGACTTAAGGTCAAATAAATTATTATTCTTGTCAGTCTTAAAAATACTCATTTTAATTGATTCCACTAAATAGAACCAGACAAACCCAAAAATAGCTCGATAGTCAATTGAGCTTCAAGACGGCAGTCAGCCACATGGTCCTTTGATCCGTTAATTTAGAGGAGTCAGAAAAATGAACAGTGACGCCAAATCATTAGGTGCTGTTAGAAAAAGCTATGATACTAGACAGCGCAGACGAGCACAGACGATGGCAGACCTAACAAGCACCCATAGACAAGATGAAATTGTAATTGACGAAAATGTGGTTCGACACGAAGAACCGCAAAAGGACAACCAACCACGACAAGTCCAAAAAACAACAGAAGAGCCCTGTTCCAGTAAATATATCAGCAATAATGACAACGTCTTAGATAGATCATCAATTAATAAATCTAAGAAATCCAGTAAAAATTCCAGAAGTACTTCGAAGACAGAAAGACGAAAATTGGAAATAGAAGCTGAACGACAAATTTTGGAAATAGAAAAAAAGTTAATTTTAAATAAGTTAGCACTAGACAAATTAACGGTAAATGAAGACTTTGAGGACATTGAAGAATCTGAGATAACCGAAGTATGTAATAGTGTGGCAGACGACATAAGTTTCAAGGTAAGCACTTGGTTGAAATCTAATCCAGCTGATGAGACTGCAATTCCTGACATGGAAAGAGAGACTAGAGTAGGTAAAATAAGGGAGCTATCTCAAGGATATGGTGCTAGAAATAAAGATATGAATTTGTTGGGTAAGTTTCAAACAAACGATTTGTCAAATGATACGGAAAACTGTATCATGCGAAGACATGGGATGGACAGATCCCTACCCAATTTTGATGGCAACCCAGCAGATTGGTTAGTATTTATATCCGAATTTAATGAAACTTCAAAACTTTGTCATTATTCTGACAGCGAAAATTTAGTTCGCCTTAGAAAATGCCTTAAAGGTGAGGCTAGGGAGTCCGTAAAAATGCTGCTTATATCCCATTTAAATGTTTCAGAAATAATAGATACATTAGAGAATAACTACGGACGTCCGCAGTATATAATAAAATATATGATTGAGCAAGTGAAAAGTACACCACCAATTAAAGATTACAAACCAGAATCTATAGTCAAATTTTCTAATTCTGTATGCAATTTAGTAACCGCCATAAAACATTTAAAAAATGATGTTTATTTAAAAAATCCTTTACTTCTGGATGAATTTGTTAATTTCCTGACAATTAGTCTTAGACGTGATTGGTCACTCCATGCCATCAGATTAAAGGAACCGACACTATTAGATTTCTCTATATGGTTAAAAAACTTGGGGAAGGCTTCAGGTCTATTATGCACTCCTAATTTTAAAAATCATTATTGCAACCCTAGTAAAAAATCTGAGTCCGTTCTTTTAACTGACGATCGCGAGAAATTAATAAAAGACAAATGTCGCTGTTGTGGTAATATAAAACATCCTCTACAGAAGTGTCAAAAATTTCAAGAAATGAATATTGATAATCGTTGGCTCTATGTATCAAAAAATAAATTATGCATTTCATGTTTAAAGCCAAATCATCATTTAAATTCTTGTTTTCTAAAGAAAAAGTGTGGTACAAATAACTGTCAATTAAAGCATACCCCTTTGTTACATAAAGATTCCGAGATCGGTGTAGAAGTCAATATTTTGCAACAAAATCCTGAAACAGAAACCATCGAGCCTATTCAAATTCACCAGCAGAAGTATTCACAGATAATACTCAGAACCATTCCTGTAGAAATTGAAGGACCGAAGGGTAAGAAAATTATTTATGCTTTACTAGACGAAGGCTCCACTATCACTTTAATAGACAAAGACCTAGCAACTGACATTGGTTTGACAGGGTATACAGAGCCACTTTGTATGCAATGGACAAATAACCAACATCAAACAGACAATACATCACAAAAGGTTAGCTTAAAAATTAAAGGCACATTTTCTGACGCTAAGTCATATATTTTAAAAGACGTCAGAACCATCGATAATTTTATATTACCGTCACAATCTCTCGACATGAAAATGGTTGCTGAACACTGGCCCTATTTAAAAAATTTACCTATCAATTCATTTAATGATGTTCGACCAAAAATGCTTATTGGTACTGATAATTACGACTTGACAATGCCAAGAAATTACGTTGAAAACACGAGATATGATCCAAAAGCAACTTTAACCAAATTAGGTTGGGTAATTAACGGTCAAATAATTCGAGGAAAAATAGAAACTAGCTTCAGTTTTCACGTTTGCGAAAGAAATTTAGAGGATGACATGTTACATACCTTAATACAAGATACTTATAAATTACATGATGATAATTTAGACAGTGACATACCACTATCCAGACAAGACCAATACGCCTTAACCGTTATGGAAAAAACTACTAGAAGAATAAGCGATCGTTTTGAAACTGGGTTAATATGGCGAAATCATAATTTGGTGACACCGGAAAGTAAAACAGTAGCTTTAAATAGATTGTTCTGCAATGAGAGGAAAATGGATAAAGATTTAGAATTTGGAAAAGCCTACTGTGAAAAAATCGAAGATTATTTAAATAAAGGATACTTAAAAAATGTAACAAACAATGATGGTAATAGAGATATGTCTAAACTTTGGTACCTACCACACTTTGCTGTTTTTAATAAGCCAGGAAAAATGCGAGTGGTTTTTGATGCGGCAGCTAAGTCACACGGAATAAGTTTAAATGACATGTTATTTTCAGGTCCAGATCTTTTAAAACCTTTAATAGCAATACTTTGGACTTTTAGACAATACAAGATAGCATTTTGTGGCGATATTGCAGAAATGTTCCATCAAGTTCAAATAAGAGAAAAGGATCGTGCAGCCCAGCGAATATTATGGCGTGGCTACAATCGTTCTGAAAAACCCTCAGTTTTGGAAATGCAAGTAATGACTTTTGGGGCCACATGCTCTCCGTCTTTAGCTCAATATGTTAAAAATAAAAATGCTAGTGAGTTTCAAACACAATTTCCTGAAGCATACCATGCCATTTTAAATAAACACTATGTAGATGATTATCTAGATAGTTGCGACTCTGAAAGCGAAGCAATAAAATTAATTGATAACGTAATTCTTGTTCACAAAAAAGGAGGTTTTCTGATGCGTAATTGGCTATCTAATTCAAAAAACATACTCCTACATTTGCCAGAAGACATGAGATCGAAAAATTTAAAGGATTTTAGTTCTGAATCAACTTTACCTATAGAGAAAATATTAGGAGTTCAATGGGACCCTGAAAAGGATGAATTTAAATTTAAATTAAATACTGGCAAAATATCTGAAAAAACTCTAAAACTTGAAGAATTTCCCACCAAACGAGAAGTACTTAAAGTGGTAATGAGCATTTTTGATCCACTAGGTTTCCTCAATAATATAATCATAAAAGGTAGAATCCTGTTACAAAATATTTGGCGTGAGAATATAAACTGGGATGAAAAGATTTCACCAAACTCCTTTCAACGTTGGAAAAGTTGGATAAACGAACTTGGTACAATAAAAGAAATAACAATTCCTAGATGTTACTCACTAAATATTCCCACGGCAAGTAATATTCAATTACATTCCTTTTCCGATGCCAGTCAGCAAGCGTATTCAGCTGTTGTTTATCTAAGGATATCAAGTCAAAATGGTGTCGAAATTTCGTTTCTATCTTCTAAATCGAAAGTATGTCCTTTGAAAGAAATTACTATACCTCGTTTGGAATTGGAAGCCTCATTACTAGCCAGTAAGCTAGTTAAACGAATAAAAGAATCCTTGGAGTTACGTATTGATGAAGAAATATATTGGACAGATTCTCGAATCGTCCTATCATGGATTCAATCAGATAAAAATCGATTGAAGCAGTATGTAAGGAATAGAGTCCAAAAAATTCTAGAAAGCTCAAACAAAACCTGTTGGCGTTGGTTACCAACAAAATTAAACCCAGCAGATCATGCCACCAGAGATGAAAATCCAAAACATTCCGAAGCTAAGTGGTTAACAGGTCCTGCATTTCTGCATCAACCATTTTCGCAGTGGCCGGAAGGTACATTAGATGCTAATTTTGACAAGTCAGAGATGACAAAAGAAATGAAAATGGATAAAAAAGAATTAGGGCCGCACTACAACCAAACAGAAGGTAATGTCCTCAAAAATTTACCAACGGACGGTAGCCATCCAAAAAAAAACAATGGAAAATTGTTCAAAATTTAAGTAATAAATTTTGGACCCGTTGGATAAAGGAATATCTGCCTACACTTCATACAAGATCTAAGTGGAACGAAGACCAAGAAAAAATAAAAATAGATGACGTTGTTATTATTGTTGATGACCAAAACCATAGAAATCTGTGGTTGAAGGGCAAGGTAATTGCAGTATATCCCAGCAAAGACGGAAGAATACGTGTAGCAGACGTCCAAACAAACACCGGCGTGTACAGAAGACCTGTTTCGAATCTGTGTATTCTTCAAATTATTCACGGAAATGAAGCTACATAGTTCTTCATTTAGGGGGGGAGAATGTTGTTGTTATATTGTAATTATTTGTTTATATTTTTTGATCCTACTGTATATAGGAAAAAATGTCAATGTGACTTAAGGTCAAATAAATTATTATTCTTGTCAGTCTTAAAAATACTCATTTTAATTGATTCCACTAAATAGAACCAGACAAACCCAAAAATAGCTCGATAGTCAATTGAGCTTCAAGACGGCAGTCAGCCACAACTATATTCAAATTACTTCATTTAAAAGAAAAATCTTCTAGATAATTAAATATTTACGATGCCTAATAAATAAAACCAAAAATCTAACTTTACATGCCCAATACCCGAGTTGGGTCGGATATAGGAAAAAAGTATCCGAGTACCGGATACGGATACTTACAATGTATCCGGATACTTTTTAGGATACTTTCACCTAAAAAGTACTCGGATACAAGTATCCGGATACTTTTAAAGTAAGTTAAAATAATGTTTTCATACCAATAGTTATAATTATGCAATAAGATTGATTATGAGTAACAATAAATAATACTAGGCATAAATAAATTATCGAAAATGGAAAGCGATATAATAGAAACAGGAAAAAACTACTCAATAAATTGTTTATTATTTTTATTCTGTTAATATAAAACATTAAAACAAAATGAACAATAAAACATAAAGGTGCGTGTTATCCAAGCTGATTTTCAGAGATATTTTTTTTAATTATACCATTTTTTTAGAAAACTGGATTTTAAACAAAATAGATACTGAAATTACCTTAATTATCTTTATATTCCAAATTTCTACTTTTTTTCTATTAAGAGGAATCTATTCTCCTATTCTTTACTTGATTTTTATTTCTCAAGCGATGTAAATGTATTTTGTTTACACATTTTATGCGAAATTCTAAGACACAATTGCAATATTGTGTCTTAAATATTGTAATATTGAATAATACATATTTTTTCTAATTATACAGGGTAGCTCAATGTATTTCGATTTTATATTTTAATATAGATAATATGGAATGGATCAGTTATGATTGTGGTACATAATTTAAAAGTATCCGAATGCCGAAAGAGTATCCGGTATCCGGATACTTACAAAATTTGGTCACGGATACGGATACCGAATACAAAATTTGAAAAGTATCCGGATACAGCTTACACATAAAGTATCCGGATACAGAAATATCCGAATACTACCCAACTCTACAATACCCAAGTAAGATAAAAAGTTATCCCACGCGAATTCTACTCGAAACTTCAACATAACCCTTATTCAGGGCGTAATAATCATAAAATAAATTTTATGAATATGAACCTATTTTATTTTTATATTATTAAAAGTTAAAACGAGAATTAAAGAAAAAAATACGTTCTTTATGATCTGTTTTTAAAGTTAACCGAAATCGTCTAAACCAGTGGTTCCCAAAGTGTGCGCCGTATGGACTAAACAGGGGAGCCGTGAGGAAAGTAAACTTAGGTATTCACTTCCCGGTAACAAAATAAACAATTAAAATCCCGCTGCTTGCGTAGGTCACTCGCCAGAAGGATCCGGGGTCATATAAGCTGTCAGGACTTTTTATTTTTTTAGAAGCTCGCTAGATAGACCGGGGTTATAAAAGCTGATGAGGACTTTTCTTTTAGAATCTCGTCAGAAATCCCTGCTCTTTCCTTTTAGAAATTTCTGTTTCGTAAATCTGGCAACCCTAGTGCGCCTAGACAAAATACTAAACCTGTAAGTTCGCCGCGAACTGAAAAAGTTTGAGAACCTCTGGTGTAAACGAATTATTAGAGCAAAGTATCAGTAAAGAAAAAAAGAAAGAATATTATGATTGACTGTCATTCATACGAGCGTTACCTCATATTTCGGGATTGGACAACCCTAGTGTTGCAAACTGACAGCTCTATTGTACAGTTTGACATTTTAGAGATTATGCATACTCAGAATGTTTTGACATTCGAGCGCTATTTGTGTTGTTTACAGTAACTTAAAAGGATCATCTCGGCCAAAAAATAGAATTAAATCATGAACATTTTTGTGCGATTATTTTTTACAACTTTCGACGTGGATTAACTCAGCAACAGGGGATCGATGAACTTAATTCAATTTTTGGCGATGAAGCTCCATCAAGGACCAGTGTTTATCGATGATATGGTTAAATTCAATCGAGGTCGTAGTTTGCTTCAAGACGAATTTCGTGAAGGTCGTCCAAAATCAGTTGTTATTCCGGAAATCATTGATGGTGTGCGCGAACTGATATTGAAAGATCGTCATGTGACCTATCATGAGATTGAGACAACCTTAGGTATTAGTGGGACCAGCATACATTCAATATTGCATGAACATTTGACTGTCAATAAAATTTTTGCTCGCGTTGGATCCCACACAATTTGTCAATCGTTCAAAAAAAAGGCTCGTGTCGATTGGTCGAAAGAAATTCGAAACACTTCTATGAGATAGTGACAGGTGACGAATCGTGGATTTACGTGTATGAGCCCGAAAGTAAACAGCAGTCGACTGTATGGGTGTTTCAAGATGAGCCAAATCCTACAAAAGTTGTTCGCGCACGAAGCACTTCCAAGCAAATGGTCGCCTGTTTTTCGGAAAAACTAGACATGTCGCAACCGTACCACTAGAACAACGCAGAACAGTCAATTCTGAGTGATATACAACCATTTGTTTACCAGTTGTCTTCCAAGAAATGAGGAAATCCAACCGCCGAAGACGACAATGCGAGCACTCAAACATCGGCTCAAACAACTGCATTTTTGAGCACTCAAAACGTCGATGTGATGAGTCATCCGCCGTATAAACCGGACTTTTTTGGAAAATTTCATCAGAGTAAAGTTGTAGAGCGAAAAATTTCCTATCGAAACTATTAAACAGATTTTGCGCTACATGGAATGCGTGGAAAGTGAGTCATTTTTTTAAATAAATAATCATAATTCTTGTCAAAACTGTCTGCTTGCTTAAAAAATTGGAGATGCAACATTATGAATTATTGTGGAATTTAACTAAAAATATTAATTTTCTTTGTTTATGAACAATGTTTAATAGGAAATGTTCCACTCCACAACTTTGCTCTGATGAAATTGTCCACCAAAGTGCGTCGTTTTCATGTAAAAAGCGAAAAACCGCAAAATATATAAATTTGTTTTTATGGCGCGCTCTAGCGGCAAAAATGTATAGGGACATATTTGAAAGAATATAGTATGTTCTTCAAAAAAAGTACAGTAAAATGTTTAATGAAAACGCTTCGTTTTTGAGAAAAAAAATTTGAAACCTTCATTGCCATCTGGGACTAAAAATTTTCGTTTCGGGGTAATTTTTTGTCTAATTCCGTTGGACGATAAATGTATAGGGTTAGTATCATTATTTTATCCTATCCACTGCTGGTGTATTTTGAATTCAGAAGCTGACGATTTTAATTTCATTTGTCTGATAACACAGCTACTGTCTCAGTACTGTTACACTGGTTTTTGGTAACTCAATTTATTTCAATTTCAACTTTTACAATTCAACTATATAACTGATAACATGAACACATAACGTCTATCATAAAACTGAAACTCTGACGTCAGGATCATCGACTTATATAGCTCGCTTTAACCTTCTAGAAGCTTCTCGAACTGTCCAGATTTATCTTGACAAGGAATGTCATTTCCAGACATTTCTGGACTATTCTATCTTCGTCTTTTACTCGTACTTTTACTTATGATGACTGCAGAACACCATAGGGTGATTGTCGACATTGACATTTGTACATTTCCTATAATAGCCGCAAGCTACTGCAGGGTGCAGAGTAACAGTATTCTAATTTTCAAGCCAGTGGCAACGCTGGTATGTTTGAATGTTGAATTGACAAGTGTCTATCGAGGTTGCTTTAAATTTTAAATACATTTTAAACGCTTAAAAAATAACAATTACCTGTGATTTCAGAAACTGTAGTAAAAGAATGGGCCAAATGAGAAGCGGCCCTCTCAATGCAGTAACGATGATATATTTGTCTCTTTCCAGCCTCTTCATCCACACTAAACTTCAATATAAAATAAAAAAATTAAAAATGTAGAAAATAAATAAATGCAATAAACTAAGAGTTTGTTTTTTTACTTACAGTACTGAGATTATTATAAAAATCTGTGTTGCCAGCACACAAATATCTTCCCAAAAGTGTAGCGTGAGTAGTAAAAACTGTAGCAATATTGATATGCCTAATTCGACTGACAATTAAACCAACTCCTGCTTGCCATTCATGGAAATGTGCCACAATTCTTGGAGTATTTCCTTCTGTGTATTCAGCAGAAATATTTCTGAACTAAAAAAACATTTGCATTATACAAAATTAAAGAATTGCGATTCAAATTAATCTTCCGGTGCTGTTTAAGTAGGCAAAGGACACTAGAGTCAGATCCCATTAAAACACAATACAAAATATACAGGGTGTAATAAAAATATGTACAGTAAATTTAACCACAGTTTTTGGGGGTCAGTTTATATAAAAAATTGATAGTAAAAACGTTGCAGGGTGTAAAGTAGAAATTTATAAGTGATTTTGTGCTCGTCCTCTAAAACGGCTTAATATATTTTTATGAAAATGTATATGGGATGTTATTAAATTGTGACAAATAAAATAGAGTTAGTGGTGTTTAAAATTGTTTTAATTATATATGTTTTTAGAAGGGTTCCGCACCCCTTTGATTCCCCCACTTCAGACAATGGAATTCATACAATGGTTACTGCTGTTATAGTCCTTCCATTATCAATTGCAGAACACAGTTATGTGGGGAATCATCAATATTTAATATATACGCACGGTACTCATGCCAAATTAAGAAACGAAAAATAATGTTTACTCCCCTTATACAAAGCGGTAAATATTAAACGAACCATCAGTTGTTTACCAATGAAAACATCGAATCGTAAACTTAAATGCACTGTATTGGCCGAAGGTTTACGGAAGGCAGGTGTTCGAAAATATTCCTGGAAGACAGTCTGCGATATCAGTGGAGTACTTTCGTGCGGTGTGTTTTGTATGTGAGGTTGGTTTAATTTAAATTTCTTTTAATAAATATAAATATGGCGTTCTTTAGACCATGGGCGAATGAAGAAAATGAAATTGCACAGTGTAGTGAGATTAAAGACAGGTATGACTTTAACGATAAGGATTTAGATATACAAACACAACAAGTTATTTTAAATATATTCGAATGTTTAAAAAAGGAAAATATTCAGCAGTCTGATAATGCGTTCATAATAACAATTGCTGAATTAACTAAAGTAAATAAATTTTCCGTTTATCCGGTAGTCACGAAAGGGGTTGCTGTGGATTATTCATAAAACCGAAAAACATGTAAAGAAAAACTGAAATCAGTTGACAGAGCTACCCAAGATTTTATACGAAGGACAATCTATAGTTTATATAAGGAGAACAGGGTTCCGACATTGGAAGTAATACAGCAAAAGGTGGCAGATTTTCCAGGATACACTTATACCAGTATGGAAACATTGCGTCAAGTTTTGTCAGCATGTGGTTTTAAACACAAAAAATTGAATGAACAGATGGCAATCACCGAATCGTCAAGGATAGTTCAATGGCGACAAGATTATTTGCGTCAGATAAAAGGCTACAGAAGTTCTAATAGACACATAATTTATCTAGATGAAACATGGTTTGACAGTCACGATGTAGTAAATTTCGGTTGGGTTGGCAGTAGTAAAAATTGCTGTTAGAATGGGCCATGTTCTAAAGGGAAACGCATTATAATAGTACACGCTGGAAGCAAAGACGGTTTCGTGCCTAATGCTTTATTATTATCTGCTAAACAAATTAAAAACTGTGCAGCTGATTATCATGAAGATATGACAGCAGAATTATTTGAAAAACGGTTTAATGAACAGCTTTTACCTTACATTCCACCACAGTCAGTAATCGTTATGAACAACGCATCCTACCACTCGCGGCAACTCCTTAAAATACCAAATAGTAGCAGTAAAAAAGCTCAAATTTTAGCTTTTATGTCTGAACAAATATTCCTATTCCTGCCAGTGATAGTAAAAAAGGACCAACAAACAAAGAATTGCTTACTGTTATTAAAGGTATAAAGTTAGAAAAAAATGTATTATATTGACAAGCTGTGCAAACTCTTCTCAGACTACCTCCTTACTATTGCATATTTAACCCTATAGAGTTAATATTGGCAAACTTAAAATCAGAATTACGAAAATGTAATCAGTCTCCAGAACTGAGTAAAGAAGTTGTAGAACTCGTAAAGAAAGTTCTAGCAGCAGACCGCCAAGAGCTTTGGAAAAACTGTGTTCAACATGTTATCAAAGAAGAAGATAAGTATGTAGTATTACCCTCTTTACAACCCATCATAATTCAACCAAATGATGACTCTAGTTCAGAGGATTCAGACTGCCATGATTATTTATAAAGATACTTTAGAATTGAATTGTTTTTTTTTTCTTTTGTTTTATTTGCAAAGAATTTATTTTCCTTTATGGTTTTTTCTTTGAAATTTCGTTTTCCAGAAAAAGAACGAATGGGGTACAAAAAGGGTTCAGTTCACGTCTGGTACCCTGTTTAAACCAAACGCCCTTACAGGCAGGTACACTTTACTCGCTTTTTTACGTTTTATAATTTAATATTCAGTTGTAGCAAGTTAACGAGCTATAATGATTTTTTTTAAGTCCAAGTAAGATTACAATTAAGTGCATCTGTCTATAATAACGTCCAATTTATAATTATTCGATTTCCTTTTAACGAATACTTTCTTCCATATGATATATATTAAAAGTATTAATAAAATAAATTTATAAAATGAGGTAGGTATCTACGCCTATGGCAGATCAAACAAAATTGTCGGTAAAGGTTCCGAACGAGTTTTTATGATCTGCAATTGATAATGGAAGAACTATACCTTTGTCACTGAAATTAGGACTACAAGTTTAATAACAATGGCAACACTGAGACCACTTATACATGTTATAAACCAGAGGGCATATCGCTTAGCATGAATCGCCAATTGGCAAGGTACAAAAACACCTTTTTTAAGTGCCGACTTACTTCTGAGAGAAACTCAGCTACCATTGATCCCAAAATAATGGAGTCATTTGCTTCAACGTCTAAATGAGGTACTCCGATATTTGTTTTCTCCCAAAGTTCTTGTTTAAATTCATCTAATTTCCAAGCTGCTGACCCAATGTCCATGAGAATTATCTGTGGATTGCCATCCACCAACCATCTCCCAGAAACAACTTTAAAACCTTTACAAAAAAAAAGAGAATTTATTGTTTTTTTACAGAATATATAAATGCCATACATTTATAACAAATGGTTTTTTAATGCAAATACATGAGCTGATGAGGTTCCTAGGACCTCTCAGACTTGATACAAGTATATATTTTCAAAACAGTGACAGTAAAGCATTATTTGTATAAATATCTGCAGCTAAGTAATTAGTAATGCATCACTAAAATATCTTACCTTTGTTTCTCAGTGCATCTATAGCTCTATTTAAGGCTTCAGAAGAGAGAGGGCCCTCTTCAACCTCAGTTCTTGCACAATGTTCCTTGTAGGGACCAATAAGACAGTATTGGTCCCCCATTTCTTCTGTTGAAACATATGCTTTCGACCTGATGACAGTGTAAATACCACCGACTGAAAAAAAAACAAGAGTAATGTTTAATCTTTCACATAACATAATATACAAGATTTAACCATCCCTGGCTATAAAAAATGATTTTTTTTTCACTTAAAACAGTTCTTTTCGAATATTCAAAAATGAAATGTAGGTAGGTACCAGAGCTGTCACCTACCAGTGAGATTTAAATCTTTTTTTGATTTTAAATCTTTTTTAAAAAAATTATTTTTGATTTATGATTTAAATCTTTCTGAAAAGTATCTTTGATTTTTTATTTAAAAATTAGATTTAAATCTTTTTGAAACGTTTTAAATCTTTTTATAACGATTTAAATCTTTTTAAAACGATTTAAATCTTTTTAATGATTTAAATCTTTCTGAAATGATTTAAATCTCTCTGAAATGATTTAAATCTGTAAAATGATGCGTTCTTTTTAAAATAATTAAAATTTTCTTAAAGATTTAAATCTTTTTAAAGATTAAAATCTTTTTAAAACGATTTACATATTTTCAAAATTATTTAAAGCGGTAAAAATATTTATCTATGAAAACACTCAAGAGACGAGAAGGGGGCTGAAATCACCTGATTCGTCAAAATCGTTATCAACGTCCATTCCTGAACAATAATGTAGCCAGCATGTAAGTGAGGTTGCCAACTCTGTGAATCAGAAATCCGGGAGAACAGAAAACAAAAAATAGTGAAGTGTATTTTTTACAGGATATTTTTTTGTAAAGTTGTATTTTTTACACCGTAAGCAGCTGGAAATACTTTTTCATTGTCCATATAATCATAAAACTCTTTACATATTTATTTTAAATTTATGCACACTTTAATTTCAGATTTAACATGAGTTGCATTAAGACGATTATGACTTTTTGACCAGTTCAATAAACACGTTCGGCATAGACAGAGCAAACTAATTAATTTTTTTATTTCTTTGCCTGATTCATCCACACATTTTTCAAAAAAATTAACCCAAACGCGCCTACTTTGGTTATTTGCTCGCAATAACTTCACGTACTTTTACTTTAATTATTATCATACAGTTTATCCTCATGCATTTATAGACATGTTGAGAGAACTCTTTTAATTCAACCCACACAATTTCTTTATTCATAGTTTAAAGATACGGAAGATTTTAGGTACATTTCTGAAGCTGGGAGATTTTGAAAATTAAATGCATTTTTCCGGGAGAATGCCGGAATTCCGGGAGAGTCTCCTAAGTACAAAAAAAAAACATATTTTTAAAGAGTCTGATGTATGTGCATCTATGTGGGTGTTTATGTATGTATGACATTAAGCACGTTAACTCAAGGAAGAGTTGAGGGATTTATGTGATTTTTCAGAAAAAAAAAATACTTTTCTTAAAAACTAGGTCTCCATTGTTTTGTGGCATCATAGCCATACCAAAAGTATCTTTTAAAGGGTTGAAAAATCCCTATTTACTAATCGACATGACATTTTTAAATAATAATTTTTATAACTATACATATCAATGCTGCATAAATCCTTGAAAATTTTATCTCGATCGGATATTTATTATTTAAAATTAATATTTCCGTAAGTTTTGCATTGGGCTAATAACGATAAAAAATAAATACGAAATAAGTTAATCGATTTTTGCATTTTATTTATGAGAAAATCACATTACTTAGGTATTCATTATCTTTGGTTTTGTGGCTCATAGGCCTAACGAAAGCATTTTTTAAAGAGTTACCCAAATCTATAAAAAGATTTAAATCCTTTGAAAATTCGTTTAAAAAGATTTAGATATTTCGAAAAGATTTAAATCTTTCCTAAAATGATTTAAATCTAAAAAAGATTTATGATTTAAATCTTTCTTTTTAAAAAATCGATTTTTGATTTAAATTATTTGTTCAAAAGCAAACGATTTATGATCTTTGATTTAAATTGTTTTTAAAATGATTTTAAACAGCTCTGGTAGGTACTTCATCATTAAATGTATGATTTCCACATAAACATTTTCAAAATAATAAAAAATAAATACAATAAGCTAAAATTTGAATAAATGTTTAGTTATTTAATCTGCATATTTTTAAATATTTTACATAAACACAATAAGTAGTGTAGGTAGCTATGTTTAAGGTCAATGTTGATAATAATCTTTAAACTGATAAAGAAATTAAACTAAAACAAAGCTTCATAGCATTTCGCAAATCTTTATTTTATCTGGTTTACAAATTAGAATCTTAGAAAATTAAAATAGATAATTAATTTGGTTACTAACCCTTGTTTGCTGCCTCCCATGCTACTTCAAAACACCAACGATTCTCTTGCTCAGCAGCTAACCCCCTGTCTAAAAGACCTACGAGATTAGTATTAGATTCCATCCGATAGAACCTTCTAGATGCTCGTTCCCTGGACATGTTTTTCTACTTATTTTCCTATAAAATTTTTAATACTAGAATGAATAGCTTTTATATTTGAATTTTATAATTAAATTATTACATAATAATCTTGCGTTTTCTATCAGCTATGTTTATTAATCTATACCAATAAAAATGAGAATTAGATAAAGTGTTTTCCTAAACAAAAATCAGTATTTGTGATAAGAATTGGATATTGACGTAATTCGCAAAGGCGGTAAGGACAGGGAGGACAGGGTTATTCAAAAATACATTAATTTTAATATTAATGTTGAAATTATACAGGAAAAACAATGAAGTGATAAATTAATTTTAAATATTGAGAAAACGACATAAAATCAATAATAATTTATTTAATTTACGCAGTAATCACATTTTTAAATTACTTTTTCGATAATTTTAGTGCATTTACTATAGAAATAACATTTTTACTACTAAAATACTCATCTTTATTACAAAAAAAAAATAACCACAAAACAAAAACCTCTACTACGTAAGTAAAAATAATATAAACAAAAAAAAAGATAAAACGATAAATTTATAGCTTTACCTGCCTCTTTCACTTATTTTTGAAAATAACACCCCAAAACAATTTATTTTGAACCACAAAAATTGACATGCGAAAAAATTAAAATTATTGTGCCTTGAACAAGGATACAAGAACGCTTGGTAAGGCAATTCAAGAGTTCAAGACTGAGATAAACAATTCCGCGTGTAGATAAAAATTAGAAGTTATGCCACTTGAAGGTCACCTCGAATAGCCCGAACCTGAGTGGAATGTAAAAGCAATCAAAGCATGGCAGAATACGCGTAACTTTTTATCTATTCAATGAAAATTTATTTTTGTAAAAACTACTAATTTTATGACGTAAATAAGTTTTTATTGAAATACGACTATGGAGAGATGCCAGATTTTACAACGAATATTCTGATATGTGGACTATGATGTATAAATATAGCCAATATAGGCAGTACATAATACACGTATGAGTAATATGATTTGCCTATTATCCCATCGAGGTAAGTGACATGTGACAGTATTTGAATTAGACAAGAGCGTATCCAAATACACTAAAAGGTAACACCAAAATTAAATTTAATACTTATTACATTCAACTACAACACCTTTTAATTTAAGCAAATCACTTAAAAATTATTTTTGATTAATACGCAGCTAAAACAAATGTTCCAATAACAATAATAATTAAAATACCACGATATTAATAAAAAATAATATAACTCATCGCAGTACGCCCGTGGAAAACGTGACGTAGATGCTTGAAATTGACAGTCTGGCGTCTAAATTGTCATGCGCACCCAACAGGATAGCCGAGTTCCCTGATTTCTTTCCGAAGCTGTTACGTCACCGGGTCACCGTCAGTACCATGTCCAGTGTTGCCGTTCGTAGCGACTTGTCGCGAAAATAGCGACATTTTAGTGGTTTATGAGAGTGCGGCGATTTAGAAAAGGATATGGATGCTCTCTCTACTCTGACAACAGACATTCAGAACAATTTCTCCCGAAATAACTATTTATCTACCCTTTTCATAGATATAAAAGGTGCCTATTTGATAGATCTATCAATTTTAAAGATTAAGATGATTGACGAGTTAATTCAAAATTCCTTCTTCGATTGCTAATATCATTATAAAATGTTATTCCAGCAGGTGTATATATGTAAGAGACCATGAAAATAAGTTCGTAGGTCCTCGTTACACCAGTATTGGTCTACCACAGGGATCTGTTTTGAGTCCCCTACTTTTTAATATTTATATCGCCAGTTTACATAAAATTCGTTTGATTAATATACCGTTCAAAGTCATCCAATACGCAGACGGTATATATGTATCTACATGGAACAAAAAAAATATGACTCTTCCCTTACATCCTTAAATACAATTATTTCTACTTTGCAATCTTGGTGCCGTATTAATGGTTTTGAAATTTCTACCAACAAGACTGTTGTATGTATTATTTCACCCGACACAACACACCTAATAATAATACAATTAATTTAAAACAACAAGAATTTCCTTTACAAACACACGCTAAATATCCTGGAATGATCTTCGATAAGAAGCTCACGTGGAAACATCACATTGAATATACGTTGAACAGGTGTTAAACGGGATTAAATTTTATAAAATCTATCTTGAAATTTTGGTTAGGTGCCGATTTTAATGCAGGTTTACTATTTTATAGATCCTACATTCGATCTATACTGGACTATGGGTGTATTTTGTATGGATCGCGGGCCAACAATTCTCTAATGAAAAAGTTAGAAGTTTTTCAAAATTCTGTACTACGACAAGTTGCTATGAAATCTACAAAAACTGAATCCCTTTATATCAAAGCTGTAGAGCCACCCATTAAATATAGAATACAATACCTAAGTCAAAAATTTCTCTTTAAGACATTCTTACATAATTCAACCTTTTTTCTGAAATTATTCAACTTAATACATACGATCTAACAAATAAATATTGGATTCATAAAAACTTACTGCCGTTCTGTAAAGCCGTTCAAAATTGTGAGATAGTGTTTAACTCCCTAGGTTCTTTCGACCAATTCTTCATTACATCCGACTTTTCTTGTTTCTTTACCAAAGTCTTACTTAGACAACCCAATTATGATGAAAATCCTTATAATTGTTCAAATCTACTCCTTTGTAACCTAAATAGCTTTCCTGAACATACTGTTATATACACCGATGTATCCAAGTCAGACCTAGGCACTGGATACGCCTACTACGTACCATTTCTTAATATTTAAAGCTCTTTACAAACTACCTGATAACTTTTCTAGTTACACTGCAGAAGCGATTGCGATACTAGAAGCCTTCCTTTGGATATCTACTGGACATCCCAATATCCACTGAATGTCCAGTCCATGGTGGATATCTATTTTATATCCATGAGATGTAATTTATAGATATGCAAATGTCCATAAATAATAGTAATTATATAGCAAATATTTAAAAAATTACGCAATTGTGCTCGCCATTGTGGCTAATAGTCCCGTTCAGATATTTAAAATTAATTTTTTTAAGGTGTATTCATCATCCTATGGGCATCTACTAAATATATCAAAGTCTAGATGTAATTTTTGATTTTGCTTACTAAGTATAGATGGCGATACCACTTTCGCTCGTTGAATATCTACTCATGCTCAACTCGCCGTAATTGAGTTCGATCGAAATTGGTATCGCAATCAGACCCCATTAGAGACTGGAGTCGAGAATTTCCATTTATTGCTGAAGAGTCGTAATAAGGATGACTTTCTCCTTAGTGGGCATGTGGGCAAAATCAAAGGCAGAGTGTTGAAAATATTTTGAGTGTTGAAAATATTTTTTCTCTACTATTTTCTTCCGATGTTATTGAATAATCATTGGTTACTTATGAACCGAACCTCTACTAAAGATACCCATAAAATATTTTGCTGAATATCTTCTATATCCACTGGATATATTGGATAACCACAAAATATATTCTGTGGATATCTCTGGGATTTCTTGTATTGTCTGGAAGATACCCATTAGATATTTTGCTGGATATCCATAATATATCTTCTATATTCTGGATTTAGACTGACATTTGGATATCCATATTAGTTTCACGGGATAATTCTGATATCCTGTGGATATATTGGATATTCACAAAAGATATTCTGTGGATATCTCTGGAATTTGGTGTGTTGTCTGGGTTACAATTTGTAACAGAATCTAACACTAAAGCAGCTCTAATTGCTTCAGATTCTTTATCTGTTTCAAAATCGATTGTAGCTCTGGACATTCCAAATTGTAATTCAAATCCATACATTTTTTTGATCAAAAAGATATTGTTCCAACTAATTAATAATAACGTAAAGATATGCTTTATATGGGATTGGACTTAAACACAATGAATATGTTAGCATAATCTGCAATAAAAAAAGGAACTAACACCAATCATAACATATCCAACAATATGAGAAAATGGAGGCATGATTGGTCACAGTTCTGTTCTACATAATCAAATCAGTACACTAAAATTCAGAGACATATTCCAAATGGTCATGCCAGTTATCCCAAACACTTGTTTAAAATAAATGTAAAAGAAGATAAAAATTGTGACTTTTGTGAAACAACTGGAGACCTTAATCACGTTTTCTTCGAATGCAAAAAATACGTAGTACATTCAAACATGCTTTATATAAACCTTATAAAAAATAACATTACACCCCCCTTAAATATTCAAACAGCTTTAACACATTTTTCTGATGATATTATCAATTGCCTCTTACAATTTCTGAGAGACACCAAGATTCGTCTATGATTGGAATCTTAATCTTGTTTCCTCTATATTATACCTATTTGTTTACCCTCTTACCGAGGCCTAATTTTGTTTAAAAAAAAATCCTGATGGGACCCTGGACGAGAAACGAGTGTCCCCGTCATATATTGTTTTTCTTCTTCTGACACCTCTTGCTGTTTGGAAATATTCTTGGGTAGTTATAATTATGGACGAATCTGTGTGTGGCTGAATGGCAATGTGCCTATGCAAAAAAAAAAACAAAAATAGTGACTTTTTGCTTTTAATATGTTTAGTATCAGTGTAATAAAATAACAAAACATTAGTTTCTTAGATGATTTCAATCGACGCCATGATATATGAAATGAAAAATTCGCTTCTATATTTTTTGAAATATTGTTTAAAACTTATTTATTTATTTGTTTGTTTAAGAATCAATGTTCGAGTTTTGTGTATTTTAAATAAACATGTATATTTATAAATGTCTTTTTTTTAGTCTAATAATACTTTAGAAAAAAAACCTAGAATAGATTTCTGAAATATTACTATTTAATATTTCTAAAAGATTTCTAATTTTCATTTCAAAAATATTACTGTAAAATATTATATTTAGAAGACATTTTTACGTTTCAGGTATATTTCAGAAATGTTTCTGGGATATTTCGTAATATTTATACAACATTGCATATGTTTCATTGTTGAAATATTTCCGAAATGTGTTTGTGCTGTATGAGAATAACTTGGATGTACTTTTACTGACACAGCCCCAAAGCTGGAAAATTGCTTAATTTCCACCAATTCCTTTAAATGCACTAATCTAAAACAAAATGTAGGTAATTAAAAACGATTTATACAAATTATTTGATTAACAATAGTTTTATTAATATTGTTTTAAATTAACTATAATAAAACAATACTCATGTCTAAACAAAACTTGAAAATCCACCTAAGCTAGCATTATTTATGTAGTTCTCACCTCAATTTCTAAAGATATATTCTTCTTCCCATATAACAAGTTTACAACGCATGAATATCAAAAACCAACAACTCAAATCTCAAACCTATAATTATTTAGAATATAGGCTTGTTTCTAGCTGGTGGCTGGACAGAGACATAGAGAGGATGAAATAAAATTAATACATATCCCATCTTCTTCTTGCAAATCAGAAATTCTTCAATAATTGTTTGCCTTTTACAACATAACCCGTTAGTAACCTTTTGTGTAACATGTATACCATGTTTCAGAAACATTTTCAGTGAAATATTTAACTCAAATATTTCAGAAATATTTCAAAAACTTGTGCTTGAAATGTTATATGTTTGAAACGTTTGAAATATTTCTGAAATAATGTGTGCTGTATGGGTAGCAGATAACTATCAAAAAATTGTTGATAGTTTGATCTCAAGGTTTGGTAGAGAAGATCTCCAGATCAAAGTATATATTAGGGAGCTATTGAAACTTGATTTAAATAATGCTTTAACAGAAAACATCGTGAACCTCTTTAATTTTTGTGACCA